CCGAAATGAGCTGCTTAGTAAATTAATCAATTGTATCTATATTATCCAAAGGAATCCACTGCAACATATTCCAAATCAGTTTTAATATTACAATGAATGCATACCTTATCAATTTTGCAGTTTCTTCAAATGACCTGAACTTAGTAATACAATGAAAATTGTTTAGTAGTTTAATCAGTGATGCTGAGAAATTGCATTTCAAGGCTCTGAATGTGTTTTTCAGGGTTTGGAAATATTTAAGTGCTATTTAAATAATTATATTTTGGGTAGGGTTTAAAGAATCAAGGGGCGGCACTGCATGTTGCATGTCATTTTTTTGTGGGGGACAAATGCCACCTTAGGCATTTGAGCCATAAGGTTTGCCACCCCCTACTGTAAGCCTTATTTATCCTAAGGATTATGACTATACAGTAGTCAATTGGATTCAGACTTGTGAGCACTACAGAGGCACACAGTGGGCTCAGGAACTGAACCCGAACTTCATTAAGCAAGCAGCAACACTTTACATATGCAGTGAGCTAATTTCATGACTTGATTTGCTTATGTACACCATTAAGAATGTTAAATACTGAAGTAAAGTATCACAGATAGTGAAATATGGGTTTACATCTCCTTGGAGTTCACAGTATTGCATACTATGCTGTATGCCTAACCACCCTGTGTGATGGGGATTTTTAACATAACTTGGCTAGTTCTTGACTACTCCCATTCAGAGAGTCTAGGGTAGCTGCACAGATGCAAATATACCTAAATGTGTTAGAGAAAGTACTTTTAAAAGTATTATACTCTGTATAATACTTTAGATAAATGATCTAGGGCATTTTAATTTATTTTGCATACCTGTTAAAACATTGTAAAAGGAGAAAGTATACAAATATTTGTAGTCAAGAGCTGTTTAGAACCAGTAGCCTCAAAACCAACTCAAAGAAATTACAACTTGAGGGGGAGGGGGAGGAATATAACAAAAACAACCACCATGGCACGTGCTATCAGCAGCAGTGTCAACTTCAACAAGCCACATTGTAGGACTGAAAACAGATGCTTTTTCACCCACAGGGTTATTAACCCATGGGTGAATAACCTACCCGCCAAAGTCATAAATGTCAAAACTGTGTCGAGTTTTAAAATATACCTGGAAAAGATCATCAAAGCAAATAGAGGGACCTTCGACAAGTTGCGTATTCCTGTCCTTGTCAAGCCCACCAGTGTTAGCGACCCTCAGATAAATTGGGTAAATACCCTCTCCGGCCTAACCTAACAGCTTCACAACCATCTACCATACCAATCATCCCTTTCCCAACAGACCATACCATTTGCCAATTCCTCCTACCTACTATATATCAATCACCCTCTTTACAACAAAAGCCACATCCCACCCCTTTAAAGCATGCCTCACTAACCACAACTTCAATACCATTTATCCACTCTCCAAATCCTTGCCCTTTAATCATGAATTCACCTCCAGGCTAAGGCTGACCACACAGGACAACAACATTGAAGTGCTTAAAAATTGGGTACACTAAAGCTCATTAAATGTATAAAAATATACATTTGCGAACTGTCTGCAAAGTCGAGGAAGCAAACTCGGATATAAAAAATATAAACTATATTAAACCGGAACATAGATAATGTAATATTTTCCCTAAACAATTCCAGGTAAAAAAAAATCACTTCTGGTCAAGATAAATTTTTGAAGAGACCAATTTATCGAAGAAAACCAATATTCCAGAATTTTGCAGGATAGTGGATGTGAATGATTTAGAGTCCCCCAATCCCCCAGAGAATCACAGGAGACCTAAGCAAGAATAAAAGTAGAGCTTGCATAAATATCATCCAGTGCGTGACAAATATTCCTTAGACCGAGAGTGAAGTTGCTAGTAATGAGACTTCCAGCATGGCCAAATTAACTGGAAAACAGAGGCGATGACAAAAGAGCAAAGCTGGTAGAAGTAGGAGAAAGGAACTTGCTAATGCAACATGTCAGGTAGGAAATGTAGAAAAGTGTGAGACAGTCAGCAAGGATGGACCTTACTTCACACAGTAAGATGGCTATTGAGTGTATTGAGCATGAAATGTCAACGAGAGCTCATGATAACTGTTTTCGATTATATAATTTTAATAAAGTTCTGAAAAAAGGAAGTGGAAGGCTAACATTCCATAACGATGAGTACTGTAAGTTAAAGAATTATTAGAATATCATTGGAAATAAAGTGGCACACTAAGTAAATACAAGGCCAAAGGAAGATTCATGGTATAGAAAAAGAGGACTCTCCAGCAGACCCACATGCAGCAACAGACCAAGGCCCAGAAAAATAGATACCATGGCCAAGCCACCAGAAAAATCACCAGCCAGCAAACAAAACCAACTGAATGGAGTGGTGACAACTGCCCACCCCAGTTGACAAGAGAAGTGGACGAGTGCACGGGGAAAACCTAGAAGTCGGCGAAGAGTCAACCACACCTTTTGGGGCAAAACATACCTGGGAAATCTGGCTGGATATAAACTACCACCCAAGGTTACTTGTTATCAAGACATCACAGAAGGAAAACAAAAGACCCTACCATGCCTATATCCAGACAGTGAGGCTAGCTAAGCATGTGCAGCAACTTAAATGCATAAGAGGAGATGCAAACTATGAAGGCTAGGAGGAACAAAGCCACCACAGACCATCAGCTTGCAAGCATGCAGACTGGCTGGTATCTCAAACCACTTGCTATCTGGGCAGGCCCAGATGTGGAATCGCAAGGACTGAAGAGGAGAACCACACTCTGCAGCAAATGTCTGAGTAGCCAGAACAAGTCAAAGTTAAAGACCTGAAATGACAACGAAGAACACCTCAATAAAACTGAACCAGGTCCCGAAACAGAAGCAGCAAGACGAGCCAAGAGGCGGCCCACAGAACCTGCAAAACAAACCAAGAGATCGTCTGTAAAGCCAAGAGGAAAGGTCTGAAGGTCAAGCGAGAAGCCAAATTAAAGAAACCTGGCCAGTCACAACTGCAAAGCATCGTCAAGGGGAGAACCGCAAGAAAATGGCACCACTGTATTCCTGCTCCATCTGGAAAAGAAGAGGCCCGAACCCCCTGGAAGACCAAGAATTACAGAATCCAAAATAAAAAAAAAAACACAATAGAAGCCTCAAAGACAGCCACTGAGAAAACAAACACATCCACCACCTGAAATAGGCGAGAGGAAAGATGGTGAGGGAAGAGGGCCGTACACCAGGAAGAGGAACGAATTATAAGTGTGGGAATCCAATTATAAGTGTGGACAGCTCTCCAGCAACTCAACAAAGCCATATAAATAGTTCACGACCAAATTGCCCCCCCCCTTCCACAGAACAGAATTTAAAGGCTGGCCTTCACCTGAGAGCGCCCTGATTAACTGTAAACTCTACAGCACCAGGCGAATAACTAAGCGGCACTGGCTGATTCGGGAGTTCCCGGTGCTGCCTCTTGGCTGTGGACAGCTGCTACTAGAGACGTGAAGGACCTAATTACTAGGCGACTCGTTTTCTGAGTTGTTTAGATTTGATCTGCTGTTGTTAGTCATGTCTTGCTCTACTTTTGTGGTGGTCAATTTCTTGGTGAGTGTGATTAAGGCTCCTCTGCTCTCTGTGAAGGGCTAGGTTTTGGCTTCTGATCCCTGGTAGATGTCAATGACTCGCATGGGCCATGTAATTACGTAAGAGTAGTTACAGGTAATTACAAGGCTCATGCGAGTCATTCACACCTACCAGGTATCAGAAGCCAAAACTTAGCCCTTCAGAGAGAGCAGAGGAGCCTTGTACTCACCTAGTTGTGCTTGCGGTTGTTGAATTTTGGCCCTTTGATCCCGCCTCTCAACTGTCAGTGAACTGGTGTACAGATTCTGGAGCTTATTGGGCTCTATCAAATCGACGTTTGAAACTGTGTAGGTAGTCTGCCTCCGCCACATCACTACCTAATGCATTCCATTTGTTAACTACTTTGACACTGAAAAAGTTCTTTCTAATATCTCTGTGGCTCATTTGGGACCTTGTGTGACTTGATAGATGTGGAAGTAACCAGAGCAGCTAGCAACAGGGAGCCACCTATAGTGGGATCTCCAGAAAGTCATCATATGCTGCCTTTTCCCAGAGACAAGTGTTTTTACTGAAGAATTTTACGATTATATATTTTTTGAGAAAGTGACATTTCGTGAGCTCTTAATCGTTTGTTATTGTCGTTGACTTTCAACAGAACTGTCATGACTCTGGAGTCTTTTTAACACTTCACATCCTGTGGTGGCGGAAATTCAATACTTGGTTTATCTTATCTATAGCCAGTATAAGACAGTCGAGTTTTGCTGTGTTTTCTGTCATATTAGTGTTACTTCCAATGACTTAGTAATGCCACTGCTCAAGAAGCTATTCGCACATGTTACGTCTCCATAAAACCAATTCCTTACTCAAATTTATCGTCATTTATATCGCAATCCGCAGCCGTGCGAGAGAGATGGTTGGCTACTACGTGTTACGTAACATTACACGTGAACTGTTCCTGTGGCCTGTCACCGAAATAGGAAGCCGGGAAACATCTCTGTCTCGGTTATGTACTGTCCATACAAGACTAACTCGCAGTGGAACAAACCTGTGCTTTGACCTGCATACTTACTGCTCATCTCCTAAAGGAGTGTCTTGATTTTTCATGATTGGAAACTGTGCTCTTCCCCTGGTTTTTATATGCCAAATGTATTCATTTTAATTATAAAGTATTGTACATGAATATATGTGGCTTTGATGTGATGGTCGTGTAATGTAATGTCGAGGCCGGCCTAAAATTGGTGTAATTAAAAAAATAGACTTACAGAGGCCAATGGGACGTGATTCTGTCCTGCATAACATTTCCTTTGCTTTTTGTGAATCCACATTACATTAGGCTAAGAAAAATCCTGGCACAGGTCGAGGGCCTACTTACATAAATTACATTAATGCCATTAATTTTGTTTTAATTCGTGTGTTCTGTGTTGTTGGTTTCCAGGAGGTAGCGAGCAGTCCTGTGGGAGGTCAAATTCTGGCCCAGGGAGGGAGCACGTATGTGATACAGCAGAGCTTAGACACAGAGAACCAGTCCATCATCAACACAACCAGAGCCTCGCCACAGACGGTGAGTACCACCCACCCACTCACCACCTTCCATGTGATCCGTGACGGTAGTGAAGTGAGCACCAGAGCACGTCCACCCGTTGTGCTGGGGTCGTCTCCTGACCCGGGGTTACTGCTCTGGGGCCAGATTCACGAAAGTACTTACGCAAGCACTTACGAACGTGTACATCTTTCCTCAATCTTTGACGGCTTTGGTTGCATTTATTAAACAGTTTACGTGCATGAAAACTTCCCATTCAACTGTTGTTATTGTTATAAACAGCCTCCTGATGCTTCGGAGCTCATTAACTGTTTGATAATTGGAAACAAAGCCGCCAAAGATTGAGAAAAGATGGACAGGTTCGTAAGTGCTTTCGTGAATCTGGCCCCTGAACCTTTATAGAACTTATCACTTAACTATTACAGTGCATTCGAGTGTTTAATATTCTTGCTACAAAAGGAGTGGCACAGTTTGTATTGAGGTTTGCCCAAGATGCATGACATGTTTCTCACTCTATACCTTCTTCAGTAATTAGTAGGCAACCTGGGGCGCCAGAACTGTAACAAGATGATTGACAGTGCACAGGCAGGTTAAGTATTTCCCTGTTGGTACCGAGGCTGTTTTAGGCAGTGTGTGCATAGGTCTTATTCCATGTTCTCGAGAACAAAAAGGCAATTTCTTCAGGAAAGGGTGAGCGTTCACGCTGAATATCTGAAGTTGAAAATGGTAACCAACCACACTGGTTTAGATAGGTTCTTGGGCTTGACACAAGAGTGTAGTTGAGGACGTGTTTAGCACGCGTCTGATTACGTTGCCAGAGTCACGAGAACTATCAGTCTGCTGCAGATAAAAGTTTTTATGGCTAGTGGGACTGGATTTGTATACATGTTTGTATATATCTCTATATATACATGTGCATAAGAAAGCCTTTACTTATAATGAAATATACAGACAGAAGTAAGAACTCCTTTCAGAGTCCAATGTCAAAAAACATATATAGAGGATGTCCCATAAGTCTGAACAAAATGATGAATCCTGCTTTTATTGTTTATTATTATATTTTATTTACAGTTGTTGTGTTGATTTAGGGGCGACGTTGTATTTATAGTATGTGTTCACGTTATGGCTGGTACACAAAGACGAGCTCAGGGGCCAGATTCACGAAAGCACTTACGCAAGCTCTTACGAACGTGTACATCTTTCCTCAATCTTTAACGGCATTGGTTACATTTATTAAACAGTTCACAAGCATGAAAACTTCCCATTCAACTGTTGTTATTGTTATAAACAGCCTCCTGGTGCTTCGGAGCTCATTAACTGTTTAATAATTGTAAACAAAGCCGCCAAACATTGAGAAAAGATGTACAGGTTCGTAAGTGCTTTTGTGAATCTGGCCGGAGGTATCTAGTCAGCAATGAAACAGTGTCAGAGGTTAGAGTTAGAGTAATTCTCGTTTTGCGCGAGTCCACGTTTTCTCTGATGCCTACCTCATGCAGTTATAGAAAGTGGGATAGTCATTTATGGTGTCATTACTTTCTCTTTTCCACCCCCCTTCATCTAAGATTCGTAATGTGTGATCTTAAATAGTAGCGCAGGAAAATGTCTTCATACCATAATACAAATGAGTATTGAGTTGTAAACATCAGTAGCACAAATATTGTTGAGGCTTGTAATATATATGAATGTTGATGCATCAAATATTGGATATGCATCATTGAGAATTCAAGAGGTCTGAAAATGTGTATTTGTGCATGTTGGTGTATGTTGGGTATGGAGAGTGAGTTGATGTGTGTGTGTGGAGGGTTATCACCTTAGTGCCGAGGACCAAGGCGGCTGACAGTATACGTTCTGCCCTCCTACCTGGCCTTGACCACTTTTTGAACACACTTTACAACTCCTTTAAAGGAAGAATATCTTTTATTTTTTTAATGCCTAGTTGTGTCGTGGATGCTAAATATATTACTGCACGCCGAATCAACGCCAACTTAACCTTGAATTGGCGTAGGTCTTGGATAATGCAGCAAGAGGTTTGTGTATCAGGAGAAGACATTACAAAGAGACGTTTTACCGTGGTAAAGTGAGAGAGAAGCGAGAGGTGGAGACGAGGGGGGAAGGTCTGTCTCCCCGGCGTGGAGGACAACAGTCCCTGGCGACAACACGGCCCCTACCTCCTGCCGGTTGCCATAGGGACTAGGTACACTGTTTTACATTGTTCATGCTGACCCACCGCCTCCACCTGTACACACACACCACCTGCACCTCACCCGGCCCACATGATGACTCGGCCCACATGATGACTCGGCCCACATGATGACTCGGGTCACATGATGACTCGGCCCACATGGTGACTCGGCCCACATGATGACTCGGCCCACATGATGACTCGGCCCACATGATGACTCGGGCCACATGATGACTCGGGCCACAATATGCCTTGGGCCACATTATGACTCGGGCCACAATATGCCTCGGGCCACATTATGACTCGGGCCACAATATGCCTCGAGCACCCTTCACACTCTACTAGCCCCGACCCCCCCGTCACCCCCACACACCACAAGGGGCTTGTGGAGGGCTTGTGGAGGGCTTGTGAACTAGATGTGTCTATTGGAATGCTTGATACATATAAGTGTGGCATGAAGAGATGGCATCATTAGTACTCGCTGGTGACTCTCAACAGAGAAGGATGATGAACACTAATACGCCCCACATTGATTGTTGTGTCATATATATATATTGGTATTGTTGAGTGATGGTTTGTGATGATGGTCCGAGTGTGTGTGCGTGTGTGTGTGCAGATTCGAGCTTTTAGCTCTTGGACCCCGCCTTTCTAACCAATCTATTATAATAATCTCTCTAACACGTACACACACATCTACTAGGGAGTAGCCCGTAGCAGCTATCAACTACCAGGTACCTATATACTGCTAGGTGAACAGGGCTTCAGGGTGAAAGAAACTGTGTTCATTTGTTAACTCCACAGCCGGGAACCGAACGTGGGCCTTAAGGACTACGATCCCCGAGCGCTGTCCACTCAGCTGCAAGGCCCCCCAGGGCCTCGCCCCTATGAGTACTCACCTATTTGTGCTTGCGGGGGTTGAGCTTTGGCTCTTTGGTCCCGCCTCTCAACTGTCAGTCAACAGGTGTACAGGTTCCTGAGCCTACTGGGCTCTATCATATCTACATTTGAAACTGTGTATGGAGTCAGCCTCCACCACATCACTGCCTAATGCATTCTACCTGTTAACTACTCTGACACTGAAAATGTTCATTCTAACGTCCCTGTGGCTCATGTGGGTACTCAGTCTCCTCCTGTGTCCCCTTGTTCGCCTACCACCCGTGCTAACTAGTTTCCCTTTATGTATTCTGTCAGTTACTCTGAGAATTTTAGTTAGTGATCATGTTATCCCTAACTCATCTGTCTTCCAGTGTCGTGAGGTTTCGTTCCAGTAATCTTTCCTCGTAGCTAATATTACTCAGCTCGGGGACTAGCCTGGTGGCATACCTCTGAACCTTTTCTAAGTTCGTTTTGTGTTTGACTAGATGTGGACTCCAGGCTGGAGCTGCATATTCCAGTATTAGTCTGACATATGAGGTATAAAAGTTTCTGAAGGCAGTTCTTATGTTTGCAAGCCTTGGATACGCCGCTGATGTTATCCTTTTGATGCGGGCTTCAAGGGACAGGTCTGGTGTGATATCAACCCCCAGATCGTTCTCTCTTTCCGATTTCTGAAGGAATTCCTCACCCAGCTGGTACCTTGTGTTTGGCCTTCTGCTCCCTACGCCTATCTTCATCACTTTGCATTTGATCGAGTTAAACTTCAGTATCCATTTGTTGGACCATTCCTTCAGTCTGTCCTGGTCATCCTATAGCCTTTTGCTGCCCTGCTCTGTCTTAATCCTTCTCATAATTTTAGCATCATCAGCAAACATTGAGAGGAATGAGTCTATACCTTCTGGAAGATCATTCACGTGTATCAGAAACAAGATGAGACTCCATGAGACTCCCCAGGGTGACCAGACGCCATTCTGAGGTCTCACCCCTCACAATAACTCTCTGCTTCCTGTTGCGTAGGTACTCCTTTATCCACTGGAACACCCTATCACTTACTCCAGCTTGTTTCTCCAACTTATGCAACAGTTTCTTATGCGGTACTTTGTCAAAAGCTTTCTGACAGTCCAAGAAAATGATGTCTGCCCAGCCATCTTTTGCTTAATGCTTGTTGCTTGGTCATAGAATTCTATTAAACTGTGAGACACAACTTGCCATCCCTGAACCCATGCTGGAGACGTGTTACAAAGTCCTTTCTCTCCAGATGTGCTACCAGCCTTTTTCTCACGATCTTCTCCATCACCTTGCATGGTGTTAAGGACACTGGCCTGTAGTTTAAGGCCTTCTGCCTATTGCCCTTTTTGTATATTGGGACTACGTAAGCTATCTTCAAACTTTTCGGTAAGTCTCCTGTTTCCAGTGACTTGTTATACACCCTAGAGAATGAGTGGCATGCAAAGTGCTTCTGCCCCCATCCTTTAGCATACACGGTGAGATTCCGTCAGGTCCAACAGCCTTAGTCACGTCTAGATCTAGCAGATACTGTACCTCCTGACCTCATCTCTGGCAATTTCAATATCTTTCAAAGTCTGCTCGGTTTATCGCCACCCCCCTCTTAGTTCAGGGACTTATCCTTGCTCTATTGTGAAGAGTCTCTTGTTGAGATCTTCTCGGAATCTCTTGTTGCGATCTTCACCCACTTCTTTGTACATTCTCGGTGTATCCATCCTCTCCCTTTCTCAGTTTCATCACCTGTTCTTTCACTGTTGTTTTCCTCCTGACGTGACTGTATAGGAGTTTTAGTTGGGTCTTGTGTGTGTGTGTGTGTGTGTGTGTGTGTGTGTGTGCGCTTGTGTGTTAGGGTGGGGGGGAACTGATGTGTAATTATACACCTCTCTCACTAGTAGGTATGAAGCATTAGCCCTGATTTGTCTCAGGTGTCTCAGATATGTCTATATCCATGTCTTTA